TTCAGACAAGGATTAAGGTTGAATTTCAGAACCTGAATGGTCAAAGCAGTGGCTCAAGCTAAAAGTTAAAGACTTGGTGAGTTGATGCCGTGTTTTGCTATGATCGTTCCCAACTCTTTTGCGACCTAATCCTATTTCAGCTACGATTGCTCTTTGAGGGAGGCGAAGGCTCACCATGTCTAATGCATTCTAGACGTCTCAACTGATGATTTTATACAACTCCACTTCACTTCTTACTTAACATCGTACGTCTCACGTCATTTTTAATGACTTTACCGCAGTCTCTCTCTTTCTCTCTCTCTCTATATATATATATATATGTGCAGGGTAACTGATCTGAAAATCCCTCGGTGGACAATTTATTTACAAAAGTGACTGATATTTATTTGCATTACTCAACTGATTTTGTAACCAATACCCCTTTTTCCTGACCTCTATATTGTTAGTTTAACACTTGTATCTCTACTTTTAACTTATTCCTTATTATTTCCCTTTGTTTTGTCTGATTTCTATTTTTAGTGCTACATTTTGCTGTTGTGGTACTAGTGTGTTGTTATGCGATTATAGTTTTGCTTGACTTAATTCAAGATTCCACCATGGAGCGACTGCTAGACACTGAAGTGTCTGCGGGAGACGCATCTAGTTCTACCTAATTCTTGCTTACAGAGTTTTGATCCCGTCTTGTTGCGAATATCCTTAATTAGCAGGTAATTTAGAGTTGTTCTTAGTAAATTAATATCCTCGTATAGTACATGTTCTCTATCTGAGAAATTTTCGGCCACATAGCTACCGTACGCACTGTTGAGGTAGTCGTGTATTTTTCTAAGCAAATTATCATAATTATTATTACTCTACAGTACAACAGATTCTATTAAATCAAACGGTGCTTTGACACTGTTGGAATATAAAATTTAACTGTGTGTAACTCGAGGAAGTTTGGCAAGCTATACAGAGGAACTTTCAGATTGCTTTCCTCCATTCAGTCCAAAATACTTGGGTCTCTGTCATTACAGTATACTCATAGATCACAATAAACAATAGTTCCAGTATATTACGAATTAACGAAAACTAGAAATGACAGGTCATTGGATTCCAGATGACTGACTAAACTCTTACTACCTTTAGCCAAACCCTGCTCTGAGTCACTTGTAGGTATTTCTGACAAACCTTCAGCTTACAGTGAACAACTGTGTATTACTACTTGTTTTCGAATCTCTTCATAAATAATTTAAGTTTTTGACGAGGTTTGGTAATATCCAGTGTTTAGATTTGTTACCAGACACTGTTGTCTGAATGTTACCTAATTAACATTGTTTCTTATAGTTTAAACATGTAGGACACTTTTACCTTCGTAAAACTTTTCCAAGTAAACTGAACTCTAGAATGCTGAATGTATATATTTTGTTAGTAGAAATCTCTGTACGGCTTTGAGGTTTTTCGTTAATCATGAGTTGACACCTCGTTTTATATCACTAGTACAGTCAATATCTAATGTATCATAAGGGTAACCTGAGATTTCAGTGAACTGATGTTGTTATTTTTCACTTCTGTCTTTTTTTCTTTTTCTGGTCTCATTTGCATTTAACTGACATGTCTGCCAATAAACGTTTCTGAGAGTAATGAAAAATTAAACAATCTAGGAGTATGTTTTCCAGTCGACCACCTCTTAAAAGCCCGCACTGTTATTATTATTATTCGCTTTGGTTCCGAGTTGAACATAGGGCTTCAATGGAACATTTTCATCATGTTCACTGCAGTGCCTTTTAGTTACCTATATGATCACCCGTAAGCTTTCACCCTCCTCCATGTCATCCTCAGTCGCTCAACTCGCCACTCTCATTCCGGTTACCACTCGAAGTTATGCCTGGCGCTTGATGTCACTGAACGGTATCCTCAATGTATCTCCTGCTCATATCAGTTTGCTTCAGCATATTTGTTGAGCAGAAGCTAGTTGGTTGGTTTGTTCCCAAAGTTCTTTGTTGTTCATCGCTTCCAGCCCTTTGTCCGTGAATATGTTCAGTAGCCGGTTGAAAGTCTTTGAACCATATAGAAGCACTGACTTGACACTAGTTTTGAAAATCCGAATTTTGTTCCTTCCAAACTGATTTCAAGACAATAAATATGTCTTATTTTTCCGATCCTGGTTTTCACATCCTCATCCATGTTGTCTGTAGTTGAAACGACGCTGAAAGAGATGACTTCCATTAGATTTCTTCTATTGATGGTAACTTATCCTTGCTGTTATGGTGATTGATGTTGGTTAGGCACCTTCACCACCTCTGCATCCTCTGTGTTCCCCTGAAGTCCTGTCTTCGTTGCTACTTTGCCCCAGTAGATCTTCAAGTTGGTGAGACGTTAGACATGAATCATCCGCCAACTCCAGATCTTACAGTGTTTTCTCGGCAGTCCAACATATGCCCGTCTTGCTCTCCAAGACTTTCTGCATGATATAGTCCACTATAATCAGGAATATCATCAGTGAAAGTAGGCAGTTTTGTCTTACTCTTGTCTTCACTTCAATAAAAGACATCACCGAGTTTTACCTTGTGAATCACCTGATATGTGGCATCATCAGATAGAGCTGTCGGGTGTGTCACTATATTACCTGAGCAAATATTACCTTCAATCAACGGAGAGAAAAAATAATGTTTGAGACTTAACAGTAGTATTTCCTAATGTCTAACTGATTATATATATACATATACATATATATATACATATATTTATATAAATATATATACATATACATGTATGTCTGTGAGTCTAAAAATCAGTTTAACCAATCAGCAGTCACTAATCACTTAGCATATACAACTAATCAATACGATAGTTACATCTGTTTTTAACATGGTAGTTACAGTACTTCAGCTACGCTACAATATGTTACTGGCGATGGCGAATTATTGATTGATAGAATTCAGTCAACACAGAGACATCCAGTACTAGACGCACGACATTGTTTACACCTCAGTGATCAATCAATTTTTACTTTTTTTTGGCTGTAAACTTTAGGCATCAGATAAATTCTGTAAATCATTATCATCATCAGTTGGAATCAATGGATTATGGTTGTTCACTATCCTAAATTTGATACATATTAAAAATTATATACAAAACAGGTTCTCAATATATAATAACTAAACACTAACGTGCTGGCTTTAAAACCTGTTATTCCTGAATCTGATGAAAAATTCTAACTAGGGAGAAGGAAGTTCCTCAATTCTATCCTGGAACCAATCCACTGCCTACAAACTAACTCTTGAGAAGAAAAGTAGATATACATGAAATCTCACTTGAATTTGAAATACACGGAAATATGAAACACTACATACATATATAGTAATGGAGAAGATTTGTAGCTCAGGCAGGATGATATTCAATTAGTTGTGTTCTCTGAGCTGGTTGATTTACATTACATCGGTGAAAGTGGGCCTCCCCTTCGACTCAGAATTCGAGAACATGAATTGACTGTAAAAAGACATGATGTATATTTTTTCATATCAACGCATGTAGGTAATTACGGACACCAATTTGATTAGGATAATGTAGAAATTTTAAATACAGGGAACACTAAAATGCAGTCAGAGAATTTCTAGAAGCCTGGTACTCAAGTGAATCAACCAGCGATTAATAAACACACTAATTACTATAGACTAAAGTTACTAGCTAATCAAAATTAAATCACATGACGAGAAAGTTCGAAGTCCAAGTCGATAATAAAAATGATCAATAGAGACATAAATCAGCAAGCAGTCAAGGTAAGCGTTACCAGGAGACATAATTATATTATTCATGGTGAATTCAAATGAGTTCATTTTATGGTAAAAACTTCTCTGAATTGGGATGTCTTTAAGGACGACGAAAGCGTCTCAGTTAAATCAACCGGCTCAGAGAACATAACTAATCCAATACATAAATAGTGTGTGTTTGTGCAGCTTTAGGTTTCCCATGTACATTGAACGGCTTAAACACTATTCCGAACAATAATGATCATACACAATGGAAACTTTCGGCATTACGTATTCAGATGAAATAGAGGTGAAAATATCTAGTTACCAGGGCAAAGAAAGACTGGCATCAGCTGACTGTGGACCACTGGAGTTTCCTGAAGTTCCAGTGAGAAGTCGTGACCAGTGGGTTCCACCCTATCGGGAGTGGGGACAAATAGTCGCCGAAGACATTGGTTGTTGGTAGCGCTAACTTACGAATTGGTAGAAGTTAGAATTCATGCACTGGCCAGTGAATGGGGTCACAGTGTCTGAATGGTCTATGGGCTTGCCTTGTCACCGGAAAGTCCTAAGTCCGAATTCCAGTGTGTGGGGGGGGGGTACCATGGATGAGTCACAAACTAGGCTAACGAAACAGCTGTCCAGTATTCCCTGGTTTTCAATGCTTCTCTAACTGATATCACTCTGTGGTGAAACTTGAAAATTAAATGAAATCCTTAAAAATTAACTCTTGAAAGATAAATATATATAGGTGAATACTAGACAAAACAACAAAGACCAAATTGCATAGATAAAACTCTTTATTGTGTTCATCATGATGATTAACCGGGACAAGTAATTACTTAAATAGTTATAACAAGCATAAATCCAGTCGATGAACAGATAAATCAATAAACTGATAACATAAATAAATGAGTAAATGTTAACTATGTAAATATATATGATAAAAATGAAAGACACACGATAACAATACCGTTAGTTTTTCAAGGTAAAAAGGGAAAAAGAAAAGAAAATGTGTTGAATATTTAAAATCGTAATTAATTTTTTTTTGCTTTAAATGAATTTTTCATTTAAAATTATTCACCATTTTGCATTCTTGTTTTTATCAAATATGGAATGAACGAACACTACTAGGTAAAAATTCATAATAGTAAAACTGAGGGTAAATGTAAAATTAGTTAGTAAACTCAAAAAAGAGAACAAGATAAATTAGTAAGGAAGCAGTAAAAGTGCTTCCATTAGAATTATTTGTACAACACTTGGATGCGTAGGGGTGGGTGGGTGGGGACTAGTAATAATTATAACAACAGTAGAAGTTTAAGACTATGTATAAATTTATATCCACTTCGTCACTTCATAAATGGAATGGGTATGCTTCAGTTGTGACGGTGGTATACGTATGTATATGTATATATATCATGAAAATATTGGCCACAATCTAAGGCGTTCATCTTCACCACCGGTTATGGCAGCCAAAGCTGCTGTTAAGATAAGAAAAGAATAAAAATAAAGCGTAAAATAAATGCCTTGAAATTCTGTGAGTATGTGTGTTTGTGCGTGCGTGCGTTCATTTGAAAATATATCTTCCTTTATACACAACTCAGAAGTCTGCTTGTCTCAGACTCGCATCTATAAAATCATATAATGATTTGATAAATTTGGTATTGGTTTCGTTTTAAACGTGAGTTCTTCTAAATTACCCGAAAATGCATCCATATTCATTTCACATGTTTCAACATATTCATCTTCTGTTTCTGAATGTTTACAGCCTACTACTGTTTCACAATTCATATTTATACTACTAGAATTGTTATAAGTAGTTGTATTCTCTGAGGTAAAATGTTTAGATGCAAGCGAAGATTTCATTTGGCCAAGTGTTGATTTATTTTTAGACCAATTCATTTTTATATGGCTTAAAACTGCTGATATACGTTGTTTACCAATAAGTAAAGTTGAGCCGATAGTAGCTGCACGTGGCCTACTTATTGGACACATAATATCCTGTTCAGCTGATAATTCATGAATACTTGTCAAATCTCTGCCTAATTTTAAACTATCAGGTGATATTTGATTACTAACTGATGTATTTGAAGGATGGAAATATCGTTGCTGATTTTGTTGTAACTGTTGTGGTTGTTGTGGTTGTGGTTGTGACTGACAGTGGTGATGATGTTGATGACTTGGCATTAGTTGATTATGGACCATTGGTGATACCAAACACGACTGGATATGACATGACTGGCGCTGTTGTTGCTGATGATGCATAATATTTTTAGAACGATTTAAGAATGATCGACGCATATTACTTACATCACTGGATGTACGTGGTCTGGTGGCAGTACAGCTGACGTTGAAATGTGATAATCCATTGGAAGTTGTTACTGTTATCGGTGGAATACTACACGTGGAACTAGCTGTATTGTAAGTTGGTGCAGGATTAGTAAAATAAGTATTAGTATTATTAAAGTTATTACTAAATAAACTGTTACGTGATCTAGTTGATGTAGACTGACAAGAAGATGACGAAAATACTGATGAACATTGTAGGGAATTCTGTAAAGAGGTGGATGATGACAATTTCTCTGTACAATTATTATTATTATTATCATCATACTTATTAGTATGATATGAACATGAACGATATGAAAAAGAAGACTGTTGTAAGTGAACTTGTGATGATAATGGCGGTGATGGTGATGTAGGCAGTGGGGAAATTTTTTCAAAGAATAAATGGGCAAATATATCATTATTTTCTCGGTTACTGGTTATTTTCTCCTTCATCGATGACGATGACGCTGATGACAATGGTTGGATCACATTTGGCAATAATTTTACTGACATTTCAAAAAACTGATTTGATGATGTAATAATACCTGGTGGAGAACATGTGGAAAATGCTTTTTTCCTGTTATGTAATAATGATTGGCTTCTTAATGTCACTGACTGACTACTATCCTTTTCTACTTCGGTTTCATCTGAAATGAATAAGAAAAGTTGATATCAAATATATTGAAAGTAATTTGCAAGTAGGCGTCTGTGGTTCAGCGGTAGAACGCTCACCAACCACGTATTTGGTCTGCGTTTCGATAGCAGGCCGACACACTTCTAAACTCCTCTCGCTAAATCACTAGTAGACCGGTAAGGAGGGAAAGTTGACCGTGGGGCTAGCAACCTCTCCCATAAAAAATAACTGCTACCGATACTTCAAAGCTCTGGCTTGAAGCTCTATGCTTCACTCATAACGCAAAGGAGTAAAATAATAATGATAAGATAATAATTGCAAGCAGGCCAATTAGCACTTGGTACATTAATTCGATGGTCTGATGACTCAGTAACCTTCCCTGGCTGTAATAATTGATTGTAGTCCTTTATCACTAAAAAAATGTCGGGTGGGCAGCGGTGAGACTGCAAACAGTTTCAATGACAGTATGGACCACACTACTTCGGGTTTCTGAGAGCGAATTCGTGTTGTTTGTGGAAGGAATGTGCTAAGAGTAAGGTATACTCTATGGAGGGACATTGAATCAGTTATAATACTTTCCCACTCCAGTGGGCAGGAAATAAAAGTCGTTCGATAAAAAACTGTATACCGATTTTACTTACTGACAGCAAGATTTTCTTTCTCGTATGAAAATAATTTTTCTGAAGTCTATTGCTGCTAAACACGACTGGCCTATTTGGTATTCACAGAGGCAGAGCTAATGCGTTAAATGCGTCAAGATAAGATGAACTTCTACAAATGTAGATAGCTGTAAACTGTCAACCGATAGGATAATTCGTTGGCACTTAAGTTTTATTCGACTAACCGTTTAAATTGTTGTTTAGTCTCTCTCAGCAACTGATTAACGTGCTAGCTTTTGAGGTCCGATGACTAGAATTATTTTGATGCACTGTAAAGAAGCAGAAAGATGTTTAATTATTGTATAAAAAGCAATCAACAAATGAAAATTATCTCTCTTTTGAAATGTCGGATGATTTTGGTGGTGTAGCGTTCTGTGAGTTGAATGGGTCGATTACGAAACACAGCAACATTATTATTATTATTAATCCTCTTCTTCAGAAGGGCCCATTACCGGGAAGAATGCTGTCATTTTTAGGGCTTTCATTCGTTGCAGATGAATGAATCCAGGTGATATCAAGTTGAAAATCTCGAACTACATGACCAACTCAGTAACGTCCTAATAGTGGATCAAGAAAAGTTTTTTTCATTTGCAAGTATTTTACATAGATTTCATTGAAAGAGATTAAACCTCATCTGAACCTGGAAGTCAACCGTTCCCTGGTTTTGGATGAGATGACAGGTGTTGAAAAAGTGACGAGTCACTAAACTTGAAACAGCGGACTTAGTGGTGAACATGGTCACTAAGAAACAGTATGACCTAATGCGTTGGCAACGTTTAGAAAATATAAACTGGGACTACACTTATGCTCGTACTATTCTCTTTTAAGTGATTTCTTAGCCAACGTAGCTCGTTGATAAAAAACTACCTTAAGTTCAGCTGATTCCCCGAAACTGCAAACAAGAAAAAACTGAAACTGTTCTGCAGAATCACCACAGTGAATAATATTTTCACTTCGATTAAATTATGCACATGAAATAGAGGAAATTAAATATAATTAAGACAGCGAACTAGTTAATTGATGAATAATGAGAATACAATTATTGATAATTTCACAGTTAACTTACCTAGATTCATTTCTAAGTAGTGTGAGGTGGGATCGTCTTCATTTTTTCTGAAATAAACAAGACGAAGAGTAAACAGAATAGAAATGGTATATATATATGTTTCCACATGACATCGAGTGCCAAACTCTCAAATGGAACCCGAATATGAAACGACGAGTGGGGCATCCAAGAGTGACATGAAGGAGTTCGTGCAAGAAGGGGATGAGAGATTTTGGGCAATCTTGGAGCCAGCTAAAGGGGACTACAGATAATAGGAGAAAGTAGAGATACGCTGTTGAAGCAGCATTTCTAATAGGATCTCAAAAGAGACATTAATCATAATAATGTCTCCACATGCGACCCAAATCAACGACTAACGTCTGCATAGATTGGTTTTACCCTATCATTTCCCTCAAAATAGTGCTACTTCTGGTACCATAACATTTTAGAGTAGACGATGTGCTGACATGCAAAATACGTATCCCAAATAATTCAGAAGACAGAGATTTCTAGTTTCCTGAATTGACGTAATCATCCTAAGTAGGATTCTGTGCCAAACGTCTATACTGCTCATATGGTAGGTAATACTATGAGAACAACTATTGATCAAAAACATAAAGCCTCTCTGGGTATTGTCTCATTGAATGCAGCCAGTCATAAGATAAGACAGATCGTACTCCTGTGTATTACACTCCACTCTTTTAGACAGTGGTGAGTCTTATCTATGCAATAAGTGAGGAAAGCCTAGCAGGTCTTCTGTACTCATGATGAGATTCGTTGAAAAGTGAACACTTTGCCAGCCTGACTCGTGAAATTTGTTTGGCTCATAGGGGTGACCGACATTTGCTATGGTTCATATTATACATAATAACTCTTTTGTATAACGAATGGACATGTATAAATTAGCTATTGAGGAGTAGTCAGTGTTATATTGTCTAGTTTTAAAACGATACTTTAGTGAAACTATATATCGATGCATCATTACAGAAATAAAAAGAATATGTTCCAAACTCATGTCAATTGATATCAATGTAATGTATTAATGTAATAACGGAGAGTTTTTGGAATGTATGAATTAACTTACTTCTCAATATTAGAGATAACTGCACTACTGTGATTTGTCAGTGGATTTGCTTTATTCTCGTTGTTTTCATTATCAAGATTATTATTATTAGGATTATTACTAATGTTATTGCAATCTATTACATATTTTGGTTGTAATGCATGTTGAAATTGTTGATGATGATCAACAATGATTTGCTCAGTATCTTTCATTTTGTATGAATTTGATGTCAAATAATGATTTTCGACACTTTTTAATAATGGCCATGATCGATGTAATAAATTTGTAGCTGAAGTTTGTTTGCTTTTACAGTTAACTATTTCATTATTATCAGTGCTGGTATGATCAGTAGTGCTAAAAGTGTATTGCATTGACTTTGAGCGATATAACTGTTTAAATGGTTTCACATTGGATGATGTAATTACTGCATTTATAGGAAGTGATACTGGTCTAGGCAGTGGGGGTAAACTAAACAGAAAGAAAAATAAATAAATGTATTGACACACTTAAACTGATAAAATTTCAAATAATAATAATAATTGCAGCTTTATTCGACTGAAAGCAAACAGCGTTTCCTGTTAAATTACTGCGAAAAATCTTAGTAACCAATGTGATCTTCATAAAAAGTAATTTGTGTCAAAGAGAGGAATAAATTTGACAAAAATCAAACCATTTAAGGAAGAAATATTAATCCCCACCGCACCCCCGATTACTCCTTTCTTCTTACAGTAGCAACACTTCAACACAATTCAGCTGAGAACCAATACGTAAAGATTACCACAGTCAGACCAGATCAATTATGCCATCTGAGTAATTCACAGTTTCCAACACTCTTGGCAAGATATTATACAAATTTACGAAAAAATCACATATTTAAATATTTCGCAGGTGGAATTTCAGGCACAGAAAAAGCTCACTTTGCTACAATAAGCTGAAATGAAAACATGTCCCTTACCAGGTAGTGCTTTGTTTTAGAAATTCCATTTAAACATAATTACCTTTCTATTATTCAGGAAATTCGACACGTTTTAGTAAAAACAACTGATTTAACTGGAATATGTGTCGATAAAATGAGGCTAACTTAAACTGGCATGTTGAATATTGAACGTGTTCAACAATATAAAGATTCATTTCATAAGGATATTTAAGTGTACACTACTTATGATAAATGATGGCGTTCAGTCAGTATTCGAATTAATGACAGTGTAAAAGGCTAATTGAATTAGAGGTAAAATATTTGTAATTTCCTTAATTTTACTGGAGAGATATTCATCAGATGTAGACTGTGCTGTGTGGCACTGCAAAGCTTCAAGCATTATTAAATGACTATATGAAGCAAGAGCATTAGATTTAGAAAATTACAAAATCTATGTGGTTTAACAGTCATATGACTACTGCTACCACAGTGGCCTGCTTAAATCATGGAGCTATCAAAAGTTTTGATCCATCATAATGCTTCAATTCCTGCAATTATATTCATCGACCACTGCATGAACTCACGCACATTTTTAATTGGGCTACACCAAAATGCTTTACAGTTTTGGAGGGAAATAATGGAGGAGCATCGTAGAGAATAGGATCTTTGTTCATATGAAACAACTCTGTGTAATATGATATACTTGTAGATTTTGTACGAAGAGGAAATATTTTTTCAGTTAAATGCACTGAGAATTTCTTTGCTATGTGTGTTTCAAATTATTATTGTTATTATTACTGCTATAAAGGCACAGGCAAGTCAGTTAATGAGTTTACGAAGCTTATGAAAAGATAAGCTTCCATGTTCAGTCACCTTTATGTGTATTCACCTGTGCACTTACTGTCAGGAAGAATACCTGCTTTGGCTAGAGAATGTCCTTAGCAAGCATACCAAAGCATCCTCTGCTTGATTTTGCAGAGACAAAATGAAGAGCGATAAAAATTCATTTCAGGAGGCAATTTTAACCATTTTTATTACATCATCAATCTAGATATTGCCTTTAAGACTTTTTATTGAATTTAATTTAATTTTAGATTTTGCCGTCGATTGATTGGACCGAAGTGCTTTATAAAATTCAATTAAATAATTAATAAGACTCGTTGCACAAAAGGTGGCTCTCTCATGGCCCAAGTGGTCTAGTGGATAAGGATTTGGCGTTTGAAACTATGGGCACTGGGTTCGAGCCTCGGTAGGAACATAATCACTCACTGGGGAATGCAGGTACATCCAGATGACGATTCCCAAATAGGACGAAATGTGCTTCCTAGGTCCCGCGGCTAGTCACCATGTACCAATTAAATTCTATTTATTGAATTACCTGTTTACTTCGTTTTGTTCCCCTCAAGAAATGTGTAGGACTTGCCTGGTCTAAATTGGATGTGCATTTGTATTTCATTCGCATCCATTTCTGAGTTATATACATTTCAAGAAAGATGGCATACATTATGCAACTTAGTTTTTCATCACTCAACGTTTAAATGCGAATGTTATAAAAAAAACATATTGACCCTTGCTATTTTTAATCAAAATTTAAATTAATCTTGTGATATTTGTTTTCTTCACTTACTATGTACACAAATATAAATGTTTACCATTGATAATAAATACTTTGAGCAATAACCATTTTCAACAAAGAAAGAATGAGAATATTTGCAGGATGTTACGAGCTTGTTTTATTTCGTGGATTCTCTTCAATTGCATACATCCTAAACTAAATCAAATTACAAGTAACGAAAGTCACTGAATGAATTAGCAGTGTAACTTTGCCGAGAGAAATCTCCAAAATTAAATCCTTTGAGGAGTATCTTGAAAGAGGTTATTATCCAGGTCATTTCCTAAAAATATCGCCAAATCGACTAAACTACCTCCAACTCAAAAGAATCTGTGTTACACCAATATATCACATATTGATTCATCTCAGAAACACATCACTGCCTTGAGGTCAGATGTAGTCAGATTCAACAGTCAACTAGAAAGTCTCTCTCTGATAAAGCTCATTAACTTCATGCAAGACTTACGACTGCAGACCGTGAATTCATATGGAAAGGAACTCATAATATCTTTAGTAGTGAAGATACTAAATGAAGAATTTCCTCTATTCACTCCCACCCTCTGAAATTCTCCATCACAGTGTGTATAAATTCACTCCGTTTTTCTATCTTACATTTTATCTCTGGTTAATCCTGAACCCCATCTCCCCCCTGTCCAATTAAACTACAAATAGTCACTGTTTATCATTGAGTAATTGGTCTACTTACATTATTTTCGAATTATGTTGTTGATGCTTTCTACCTATAACTTGAAGTCACTGTAGAAAAATGTATGTTCAGAAAAACTTTCTAACTTGTAATTTGAATTTGTCTAGGATTTATGCAGTTGAAGAGGATCCACAAATTAAAATAAGCTGGTATTATCCTGCTAATATACTCGGTCTTTCTTTATTCAAACTAATAAAGGGAACCAGTTGTATAAAATAATTTTTCATTGAATAGGTTATTCTGAAATAAGATGCATCCTTATAAGTTACCACCTACTCTTAAATACGAGTTAGGGGAAAGAGGAATCGTCCGGTGAAAGGAAACTGAAAAACATATCAATGTCCTATGAGCTCATTAGGAGTTATGTTGAGGAATTCAAAAGAAAAAGTGTCATTTATCTATCTGCTCTCACCATTTGGATAGGAGGACAAAATGGATCAGATGTATTAACACTTTATCTTCATTTAAATTTAATTGTGCATGAATGATTGACGAATCAATTTAGAAAGTCACACAAAAGTGTATCAATTCAAGTCGCCAGACTTCAACAAAGAACATGGAAATAAAAGAACAAAATGGATATAATGCTAGAAGATGTGAACGAGACGAGGGAGAGCAATCTAACTGAAAACTAATGAAAATTTAAAAATTTTTAAAATTGATACTGAATGCATTTAAGCTGTTGTTAGTGGTTTCAAGCCATATCAAAAACAGTCTCCAACCAATGGTAATTAGGACGTCATTCAGCTAAAGTAAATATGCAAAACTGCCACGCACACACGCACACACTTACACTGGCGGTCACAGACTTCATAGACTGGTGTCAAGTTTCCATCTGGCCACTCAAATTATTCAAAGACTAATTCCTTATTTACTTAATCCTTCGTCATTTATTTCATCACCGCTTTCTGTGAATTTGATTTATACTATTTTCATTCATTTGTATTTGAATCAGTCAACTTTCACTTTATGCATAAATCAGGGAGTACTGGACAGGTGTTTCGTGTTAGTTTGGGACTCTTCATAGGTTCAAAGACAGTACCCTCCTGTTACAAAACGAGCTCGTAGACAATTTAACCACTGGAATTCGACTGAATGACCCAACTTCTACCAATTCGTGATCAAACCTGTAGCCAATCAAATCCCTGCAAATCAACAGTTGATAATTATGCATAAATGTGGAATACAAAATTATAGTCAGTTACAACTCAGAGATTGCTTTTTATGCCTTAATAACGTCTGTCAGTCTGATGTGAATATTTCCTACCATTCCATCATCTAAGACACACCTTTGACCTAATTATGCATACATTCCAGTATCAAACTATGAATGTTCAGACCATTGTATATATTTAATTCATTTACATCAGTAGTGTAAATATTTATTTTAGAATTTTATACTACCTATCTGTTTTGCTTCCGTTTAATCATTGTGAAGTGTTTTTATTGTACGTGCACTGAAGAGATACACCAAAATAAGTCAAAACTGTTGTTAGAAGAAACTGTACTAAAGGTCAATTCAAACATTAATCTAGTTACAGACAGTGAATGACTTTCATTCAGTTTACATACACAATTATGCTTATAAATGCCACAAGACAACTTTTAGGTTAGGTTTCTACCCCAGTGAGAAATTACCACACACAATAAAACAAAAGTTGCCTTTGTTCTAGTGTGTTTTTCTTATTTTGGAAATCACGTGTGTATTCTAGGAACGCCATGAATACATAAGGTCATCTTGGTAAATTTTAATGCTTATACATATACAGCAGTCTATGTGAAATTTCAGTTGTACAAAACGAAAAGAACTAAATTTGGAGAATAGGATGAATTCATTCTGTTCAGTTGACACGTCTTTAGAGCTGCTGACAGCCTAGAATATATATATATATGCAGCTGTAATATCGAATGAAAATGGTAGAATAAATCAGTTTTTGTGTATGAAAGAATTCTGAAAGTAACAGGACAGATATGCTTTCCAGTAAAATTGTATGAATTAGAATATTTTACCACCAGTGGAAAAGACAAACAAACAGACAAACAAACACAACATCGGATGATCTGTTTAGTTATAATTTTTAAGAGAAGTTTCATCAGTTTGCTTATATGCAGAAATGCTATCCCACTCATGTGAATTGAGGTATGCACATTTATTCAGCTGATGCATACCGCCTATGAACCTGTTGTCATTTTACACAAGAAACATGTAAAACATGAAAATCAAGCCGAAGACA